AGCTCTTAATGTTTCTTCCAGATTAAAGGAAAAATGAATAAAGAAGTACTTTCTTGGCAAACTGTAGATGAATACTGAATAAAAGTCATTATTTCCTAAAGAAGAACTAAAAATGCATTTTAGTTTCTTAGAAAAAATCTAGTTTTAGAAAGTCTGTTGTATGTAGAGTTTAGAAAGTCTTTTCTATTTTTAGAAAGTCTCTTCTTGTATGCAGATTTTGTTCAGCTTCCCCATCGGTACTTACCAAGGAAAAATAAACAGTTTATAGAACAACTATGTGCAATGTCAAATATGTTGAATCTCCCTAATTTCTATTTACTATGTGAATTAGTGTGAAGCATAAACTACAGAATACCTTTAAAGAAACTGTTCCTCCTTTTCTCCATTATTTTGTTGAAAACCACTAAAGAAATCTTACAGATTAATGTTGATCATATTAAAAGGACTTTTTTTGAAAAAATTAAGATTTCCTAGTTTATGCTTTTCTATAAACCCACATTTTTGCTTTCAGTTTAGTAATGTGTGAGGTACACATTTTCAAAATTTGTAATGGTTAAGAGCATGGTCTCTGAAGCCAGACTGACATGATCCAAGTCACAGCTTAATGACCCTGAACTGGCTGCAACATCTACATTGTTACCACGACTGAGTTTTTTCTCTTTTATAGAAAAGTCGTATACTCACTTAACTCATAAGGTTGTGGTAAAAAATAAAAATATTTTAACATGTTTATATGCAACTTATACTCTAAGCAACCTTTCCCAATTGGAATTCCACTAAAAATTAAGCCCTTCAAAAAACTGTGTAAGTAAGTATTTTTTCCATTTCCTAAGAATGATACAGAGATACTGTAGTCCCATTCTAGATGCATAGGAAGGAAGTCAATTCATCACAATGGATGCCTGGGGGGATCAGGGTTTAATTTTCCTTTTTTTTTTTGCCTTTGCCAAAATAAGGTCTTATTTTGAAAGTTACTTGAAAAACACTGAGGAAAGAAGGAGAAGACCTAAGACCCAACGGATATAAGTTTCCAAATTTGTATTCTTGACAGCCCCACCAATGGTCTGTCTCTGTCAAGCCCAGAAGGTGCTGATTTCTTTGGTAATTCCTATTTTTTAGCTTCCTGGAGAAGAGATCTTTTCCCATAAGCCATCTTCTTCTTTTTTTTTTTTGTAGAGTAGGGCTTTATTTCCAGGAAACTGTGTGTTAGTTGGAGCAGTATTTTTTTAAAAACCATCAAGGTAGATCTAGTATGTTCAACAAAGTGGGACGGCTCGGCCAGACACGAAGTGGAAAGATTCTCTAGTATTTGCTTGTCATCCTGCTGCAAGCAGAAATCCACATGTGGAAATGGCATCCAGGAGTACAGTCCTTTACGAAGTTGTTCTGTCTTTGCATCGTAAATGCGAATCATTGGCCCTCCTGCTAAAACTCATGCGGCGTGCAGCTGCTCCTCCAGACCTCGATCTTGAAAGGAGGCTCTGTAGGCCGGGCACAGTGGCTTACACCTGTAATCCCAGCACTTTGGGAGGCTGAGGCAGGCAGATCACTTGAGGTCAGGAGTTTGAGAACCAGCCTGGCCAACATGGTGAAACCCTGTCTCTACTAAAACTACAAAAATTAGCTGGGCATCGCAGCAGGCGCCTGTAATCCCAGCTACTCGGGAGGCTGAGGCAGGACAATCACTTGAACTCTGGAAGTGGAGGCTGCAGTAAGCCAAGATCACACCACTGCACTCCAGCCTGGCCAACAGAGGAGACTCTATCCCAAGCAAAAAATAAAAGAAAGGAGGCTCTGTAAATCTCTGCAGTCTCAAGTTGACAGCAATGCCATATATTATTAGAAAGTGGTATTCATTTTCTTCCCGATCATTTAATTCCGTCACACATAATCATAATACCACTAAGTGAATGTCATCTTCTTTCCTGTCAGATTCACTAAGAAGTTAATGAATGAGTTTTTGTGACAACTGCCTCCCACATCACTGAAGCCTCCCACGAGGTATACTTCCAGCCTTCCACATTGAGCGTGGTCGGAAAAGGATTTTATGGAGTTCATGATCAAGGGGACCTCAGCTTTGGTGTCAGTTCCATCACAATGTGTCAAGCAGGTGGCCCCGTTACCTGTGTGCCACATGACCACAATGTGACAAGTAGTGGCATTATCAGAACCCAGAATGGAGATGGAGCCATCCTTTGGGGAGGTCACTGCGAGCTCTCTTTGCTGAACATACAGAAGGCCCTAGGGTCCCACTTGTTGAACAGACTGACCTCTGAGACGTCTGGCTCTTTCCTCCAGAGGCAGGTGGGCTCGGATGAGGTCCCTGGCGAACTGCAGCAGCCACACTCGCCGCCCCTCAACAAGCAGTGGCATTGCGGAGGCAGCCGCCCAGGCCAGGGTTTAATTTTCTTATGGAAAGCGTTGAGAGGGGGTCCTTTCAAGCAAACTCTTTCATAATCAATCTTTCCTGCCATTGGTCTTTCAAAAAGAATCCAAAGATGGTAATTCCTTGCCACTTTGGATATATAATGGAATTTGAAATGTAAGTAGTATAAATGATCCTTTTAATATGTAAATACTAAATACTGCCATTTAAAATATATTTAAACATGCACATTTGAAAGCTTGTATAAAACACTTTTTCTTTTATAATCTATGACCTTCACTGTTTTGTTAAAAAAAGAGAAAAGCATACATTTGTATTTTTTCTACAGTTCTTCATTATTCACTTTGGAAGTTACGTCATGTATTTCTATATCCTGAGACACAGAGAAATTAAGTGATCTATCTAATGCCACTGAGAAAAGTACTGTATTTCCCTAAATCTAAAATATCAAAAATGACACACCATTAGTTTATGTGCCACTAAGAAAGAAAATATCACTGCCAACTACAATGTAAGGTTCCAGTGATTACATCATGTAATCTCATTTCAAGAATTTTAAACTGTGAAACAGGTAAAGTGTTACATTATAAAATGTCAGTTATTAGGTATATATTACTATCCATACCTGAACAAGAAAAGCTAGGTCTCTTGACTCCCAGTCATTCTTTTTCACTAGTTGTTATATAAACTAGGAATTGACACTAAACCATAAAATTCTGAAAAACTATTTAAATAGCAAATTCAGCACTATTCCTATGTATGTTTCCATCACTTTTCCTTCCTATAATCTCAAAAGAGCAATAAATATGCTGGTTTTTTGTGGGTTTTTTTTTTTTTTTTTGAGACAATGAAGTTCATACACGTTAAGAAATATACGGATTCCTGTGCAATTCTTAGCACCTAATAGCTAACTATAAACTTTAGGGGAAAATATTTTTAATAAAACACACATACAATACACACACAGATATCAATCTTAAATAGAATTATTACTACAAGGAGTGGTATGTCAATTGTGTTAAAGACTGTTACACTGGACCACACTTTCCATATTCAGGAACTTGTGTCACTGGTCCCCTCCCACAGAAACTGGGCTTGCCCTTGTGACTTGTTTAGATTAATAGGATATTACCAAGTATGATGCAAGCAGAGGCTTGCTAAAAGTTTGCACACTGGATCTTTTCCCATGGAACACTCATTCTTGGAAGCCAACTACCATGCTATAATGAAGGCTGAGCTAGACAACTAAGTGATTAAAAAAAACAAGTGAGGAGAAACTCTCATAGGTGATAGGCCATCTTGGACACTGTAGTCTCAGCTGAGGGCCCAGGTGAATGCAGCTGTCTAAATGACCTCAGCTATACTAAGCGATGTGGAAATGCCACGGAGCTCAGTTAACCCACAGAATTGCAAGAAATAACAAACTTGGCTGGGCGCAGTGGCTCACACCTGTAATACCAGCACTCTGAAAGGCCGAGGCAGGTGGATCACCTGAGGTCAGGAGTTCGAGACCAGCCTGGCCAAAATGGTGAAACCCTGCCTCTACTAAAAACACAAAAATTAGCCAGATGTGGTAGTGTCCGCTTATAATCCCAGCTACTCAGGAGGCTGAGGCAGGAGAATTGCTTGAACCCAGGAGGCGGAGGTTGTAGTGAGTCGAGATAGCGCCACTGCACTCCAGCCTGGATGACAAGAGCAAAACTACGTCTCAAAAAAAAAAAAAAAAGAGAAATAACAAACTGTCATGGCTCTACTCCACTGTTATCATAGGTGGTTTGAAATACAGCAATAGATAATGAAAACAAAAACCTACTCAGAAAAATTTGACTTTTAAAATTCATGAATTTGAATAATTCATCAGTACCTCAAAATGCTCCTTGATAATATACGCATTTGCAATTTTAGCCTTGATGCCTTCATAATCTCCAACATCACTAAGGCAGATTGCATACCACTGAAAATTAAAGAAAAGTGTAAGAACAATAATATTCTTAATATTCCATTCAATACAAGGTAAAACTGTATAATATTTATTCTTCAAGTCATTTTCATCCAACAAAAAGTCATCGAGCACAAAAACTGTATTAAATGTAATGGAATACATAAAGAAAAGTGGACATGGCCCTCTAGAAACTCAGGAATAGGGTTGGGCGCAGTGGCTCACGCCTGTAACAGTACTTTGGGAGGCTGAGGTGAGTGGATCACCGGAGGTCAGGAGGTTGAAATCCTGGCCAACATGGTGAAACCTCATCTCTACTAAAAATACAAAACTTAGCTGGGCATGGTAGCATGCACCTGTAATCCCAGCTACTTGGGAGGCTGAGGCAGAAGAATCACTTGAACCTGGGAGATGGAGGCTGCAGTGAGCCAAGATCACACCCCTGTACTCCAGCCTGGGCAACAGAGAGAGACTATGTCTAAAAACAAAACAAAACAAAACAAAACAACCTCAGGGATAGGACATGTTTATAGACAACTATAATACAAGGTAGAAAGTGGTGAATTTTCCAAGAAAGTTACCAGCACAATGAGATAATGGTTCATGTTTATGGTCTGAGTGTCAATTTAGAAGAATATGTAATTGAATGTTTTATTTTCTCATTCTCTTTTCTAGGAGTTCCATCTCCTCCCGTATTGCATTGTTATAGTAAGAACAGCCACATTGTCAACTGTGACCTTATCTCCACAGCCACAGTTGGACAGCAGACCCAAACTGAGACAACCTGAGTTTCTTTCCCAAGAAATGAATCTAAAATGGCCATGCTTCAAAAACCCAGGTGCTGTGGAAAGTCACAAGACTTAGGATAAGGAGAAAACAAACGTCTGCAATGAAAAAGATTTTCCGGTAACAGCAGAGTAGAGAAACAATTAATGAAGCCTCGGAGCAATCAAGCCAATTTTTTCCCAAGGTCCAACTTTACCCTGCCTTTGGGTTCTATGAAGTCCAACAATCCAGAAGGCTAATGATGACCTCGTCTCCCTGTACAATTTACTGAAAAACGTCGTCGTGAACCAACAAGAAATCCTGAGTTACATGTGAAAGTCATTCTAGGTCTCAGTTGTCTAGCTGTTATATTCCTATCTCTAAATAAAACAAATATAACGTGAGGAAAATGAGAAAATATTTGTGAAGCGCTTATACTAGTAAGAATATAGATATAGGTAATTCATGAAATTACTAAACTTCTGTTTAAAAATAAGCATTCACAAAAGTAATTTATCAAATACACATGAAGTTAGAGCAAATGTCTATGAAAACAGACTTCTTTTTGAAAAAATAAAACTATCTTCCCTACTTCTTTAAAATAGAGAAATTATCCTTAAGAGATAAGATTGAATAAAAATAAAAAAACCTTAAAATAGAGAAATTGTTCTTCCAATGTAAATTAGGGATAACAGAAAAATATAGAAAATGTACCTCTCAGTACATGGTAATAGCTTAGTTAAGCAACTCACCTTATGAGCTGCAAAATGTGATTCATTCTTCTGCAGTGCTCTTTTTGCATACTCTAGGGCTTCATACACCAATAGCTTTTTCTCCTCTTCTGAGGTTCTGCTAAGCTGAGCAACATCACGTGATGCCCGTGCCAAACGCCACAGTAACTCTGCATCTTCGCTAATTTGAAATAAAATATAAAACAACCATTTTAGCTCACAATTAAAAATTGTTAAGGGTTACATTACTAATGAATACATTATGGTCTTTCAGCTTAGGAAGCTAGCAACATGGTATCAAAAGCCATTATTAATAATGCTAAATTTGTTATTTTCATTAATACAAAACCTTTATTTGCTAAAATTTCCTATAAAAATGTCTAATATTCATAAATATTAACTTACCTCTAGTATCTAAAACACTGACTTCTTTCAAAAATATCTCTGTATTCAAATTCTCTAAACATTTGCCCTACAAAACTCAACATATTAACTTGAGGCTTGGCCTCACTGGCACTGTGTTTCAAATAGCTCACTCGGTAGTTCATACAGTACCATAAAATACGTAAATTTTATAGACAGGGTCATGTTCTAAAAATACAAAACTGCTGAATCCCTAGTCTCAAATATAGCACCTGACACACAATAGTTTTTGACAATTATTTGCTAATGAATGAATGCTTGAATATAATGTAATCTCAAAATATAATCCTATGTTTGAATACTATGCCATGATGTATGGGTTACTTCAAGTAAGAGCATTGGATTCTTTGAAGAACTGCCATTTCCATATAGTGATATAAGAAATGGTTAATAAATTATTAACCATCACAACTGACAGAAATAATTGCAAAAATTAAATTCTGGTCAGGCACAGTGGCTCACGCCTGTAATCCCAGCACTTTGGGAAGCCGAGGCAGGCAGATCACCTGAGGTCGGGAGTTCAAAACCAGCGTGACCAACATGGAGAAACCCCGTCTCCACTAAAAATACAAAATTAGCCGGTCGTGGTGGTGCATGCCTGTAATCCCAGCTACTTGGGAGGCTGAGGCAGCAGAATCACTTGAACCCGGGAGGTAGAGGTTGCAGTGAGCCAAGATTGCGCCATTGCACTCCAGCTTGGACAACAAGATCGAAACTCCATCTCAAAAAAAATAAAATAAAATAAATAAATTCCTTTTTATTAAATGTTTGCCTTTAATCCTAACTTTATATTTTTTTAACAAAAAATAAAAATTTGAAACTAAAGGTTCCTTAAGATAGTTATTATTCAATGAATATGGAGTAACTACCTTACAGCTTATTTTTCAAGCTATCAATGACATGACAATAAAATGACAAACCAGCCACCTTGAATTACTGAGGGGAGAATGGAGAAGAAAAGATCAATCCCGTAGATATCTAGAAAGTAAATTTGGTGGGTCCTGGGGAGAAAACTGGTTTTGAAAATCTCAAAAAGGTAGATGAAAAGGACTCAATGTTTTTAGTTTAGGAGATGCGTAAATTAGTTATCTAGAAATGCTATTTAGCCATATGATTTACTTTATAGGTTGAGTCTTTCTCTCACTCCACACTCCTCCCAAAAATGAGTACACACTGATATTCTACACTAAACATACAATCTAATACTAAAAATAGAAAAAGGGGGTATTTTTTATTTCTCTGACTATCCTTCTAAAGTAATACACGGTTACCATTCAATGGTGGCATACAACATCCTAAATCTCAGTGAATTCATGTAACCTATACCAATAAATAATTACTTTAAAAGGAATGAGAAATATACAATATGGCTAGAATGGATAAACATATATTCAGTAACTATGCTGTACGATCTAAAGCAAAATGGAAAAATCAACATTCCACTAGAGTAAGTAGTAACACCTTTTCTAAATCAATGAGATACATGCAGCATTTAACGTAAGAAATAAATAGTATATTATAAATTAAACTCTAAGAAATATTTTGAAGTAAAAACTACAATAATCGATTTTTAAAACCTCAAGCACTAAAGGTCATTTTAATTGTTAAATAAAAATTTTGAGGAAACCACAAGCCTAGGCCTATCCTACATTGCTTACCTTTCCTTGTATTGGGTTAGCAACTGATAAAGTTTTTCTGTTTCTCCGCTTTCATACAGGTAGTCTGCTTGTTCAAGTATTTCTTCAACTTCAAAGATTATAAAGGAAAAAAGACACAATAAAATATGTCTTCCCAAGTCAGATGACAATAATTCAAAGAAACATAAACACTTTTATATATAAGCAAATGAAATTAGATACAGAAATGACCTATAGTGAAAGAGCAGAAATTATGAAGAACCTAGATGGAAACAAAGTAGCAATAAGCATAACGCTATCATAAAAAATGATTTATTGAAATCATGGGAAATAAAAAATTAGAAAACTTATTCTGGTACTGATTAAATACGAAACACTAACAATAAATATAACAGTAACGATAGCTGATGAGCTAAAAAAAATTCCAAAAACTCTCATAATATTTTAAGAACGTTTACTTATCTGTGTTGGGCCAGATTCAAAGCTGTCCTGGGCTCCATGTGGCCTATGGGCCGCAGGTTGGACAAGCTTGCTGTACCCAGTCTTTGTTGTTGCTGCTGTTAAGTACCATCCATTGTAGAAAATAAAAGTCATCTACTTGCAGCACTGAATGTTAGTAATGTGCATGAACCAAACTACACTATTTTAATAGATTCTCTTTATACACAGATGTTCAATGAGTCAGAGCTGTCATCAGAAATTTAGATGAAGCTAACTACACACTGAACCTGGAACTTATTGATACTATGCTCTGACCGACTCTTAAAACTAATTTATATATGACTACAAAATACATAAACATTATTGACAGTGTAGTGACCTAAGAAAACTGTCTACTTAATGAAAAAACAGTCTGAATTTCAGGAAATTCCAATTATTACTCAGAAACATGTACATTTAATTTTGTCTTCTATAAGGGTACTGTACTACTTAGTCCTAAGCCAACATTCCAATGTGTATACACTTGGTATACTTTAATCAATCATGGTATACTTGTTGTTAAAAGGGTTTCTTGGCCTGGCACGGTGGCTCATACCTGTAATCCTAGCACTTTGGGAGGCTGAGGTGGGAGGACCACCAGGTCAGGAGTTTGAGACCAGCCTGGCCAACATGGTGACACTCCGTCTCTACTAAAAATATAAAAATTAGCTGGGCGTGATGGCATGTGTCTGTAATCCCAGCTACTTGGGAGGCTGAGGCAGAAGAATCACTTGAACCCAGGAAGAAGAGGTTGCAGTGGGCCAAGATCACGCCACTGCACTCCAGCCTGGGCAATAGAGCGAGACTCTGTCTCAAAAAAAAAAAAAAAAAAAAAAAACGTGGGGGGGTGAGTTCTTAAGTTTTTAAAAAATTAGCCAAAAGAAAAAAACCACACAACTTGTGATGCAATCATGTATTTTTTAACATCATAATGTAATAATTATACTAGTTAAGAAATTAAATGACAATAGCAGGGAAAAAAAACCTAAAATTAAATAAAGACTATTTTTTTCAGTAATCCCACTTCATTCTGATTAGGTGTCATAAAGTTTAATAATATTCATATGGCTGGTTAATTTTTAAAATTTTGCTTCCATTCTATTCTATATTTTTATCTAATAAGTGGCTGAATCACTAAGTTTGTGTTTTAACAACCCAAAGGATAAGTAGTAGTCTTTATTCTTTAGTTGATATTTACAGTAGGTAGAATAATGGCCCCCAAAGATGCCCCAATCTTAATCCCTGGAATCTGTTTGAATGTTTGGTTACATGGCAACAGTGAACTGTAGAGAGAATTAAGGTTGCTAATCAGCTAATCTGAAAATAGGAAATTATCCTGGATTATCCAGGTAGGCCCAATATAATTATAGGAGTCCTTAAAAGTGAAAGAGGAAGGCAAAAGTCAGAGAAGGTCAATGGAAACGAGGTCAGAATGATGGTTTGATGGTGGTTCTGAACATGGAGGAAGGCGCCTTCAGCCAAATAATGCAGAAAGCCTACAGAAGCTGAAAAAAGCAAAGAAAGGGAATATTCCCCAGGGTCTCTGGAATGCAGCTCTCCCAATGCTGATTTTAGCCAGTCAGAACCATTTTTGGCTTCTGAACTGTAAGATACAGAACTATAGAACCCTAAGATAATAAATTTGTGTTGTTTAAGTCACTGAACTTGTCAGAGCAGTGAAAGAAAATTAGTATTAAATTAAATATATTGATCTGGCATATTTGAATGTGTATATAGTATGTATAAGTAAAAAAGTTACTTTTAAATCTATTCATTGATTATTCTCTGACTTACTGAAAAGACTGATTACTGTCCTTAACATGATCTAGGAATTCTAAATCACATTACTCATGCGATTAAAAAAGTAGAAATTGTCAGCCAGGCATGGCAGCTCATGCCTATAATCCCAACACTTTGGGAGGCTGAGGTGGAAGAATCACTTGAGCCCAGGAGTTCGAGACCAGCTTGGGCAAGATGGCAAGATGCCAAGATGCCATCTCTTTTAAAAAAAAAAAAAAAGTAGAAATTTAGTGAATAATCTAAATCGTTTTTGTGTGCATCCTTTTATAATCTCTCAAATCACTTAGCTCCAAATTCTTAATTACATAGTAAAATACTGTAAGCTATAATATAATGGCT